TGTTAAATGAACAAAAGTATTGTGATATTTATATTGAACAAATTACCTGCAAATGGTCAAATTCATGTTGGAATATCCGTGCAGTAAGACCTGACATGTCTACTGTAAACCTAGCACCATTGATGTCTTGTGCATCAATCTTTAAAGATTCTGGTCTCTGAACATAGAAAATGATGGACATCATAAACCAGCATAAAAATAATGAAAATGACCTAAATGTGGTCTAGAAGCCCAAACAGTGCAAACACAGAAAAGGTGGAGATGAGACAATTATCTATGCTTTTCTGGTTTGAAAGAAATGAAAAGGGAATACTTACTCATCTTGATTATCTACTTTCTTAGCTGTACAAAGAATCAAATAAGAATCTCTGCCTTATTCCCTTCTGATTGATCTCGGAACAAGAATTTAAGCAATAAAATTAAAATTTTCGAAGTTATGCACTCTCTACAAGCTAAAAAACAGGAAATACTAAGTTCAATGATTCTACAAATTGCATATATAGGTTGTCCTTTCTTCTCCTCCTATGCATCACAATGTGGAAAAATTGATCAACACTATAACACATAGTTAACCTCTAATCATAGGACTTAATGAATTTCATCAGACTATTTCCAAGTATCAAAAATCAAACAAAAAAGGTCAGATTTCCATCAATGATTCTCGAATTGTGGCCATTAGAGAATAAGAGAATACAACAATACCTCAACATCAGCATAGATCCCTGGAAACGATAGGCAGCCTTCCTCAAAAAGCCGTGTCTTCTTTGAATATTTGTTAACTTTTGGGTTTACAAGGACAATTTCCTGTCCCTCATCCTCCTCACCAGCTGGATTAAACACCATAAGTTGAACATTAACTCCTACCTGCGGTGCTGAGAGCCCATATCCATCGGTTCTATCAAACAAAACAACAAAAAAATCGATCTCACTCTATACCGTGGGTAGCCATAACTTCAAATTTAAAATCTAAGCTAAAACTCACTTGTACATAACTTCGATCATCTCATCAACCAATTTCTTCAAATTGTCATCAAATGTCTCAATGCGTTTATTTCTCGCTCTCAATATCGGGTCCGGATATTCCACGATTTTCAGCGGCGGCTCAAATCGAAGATCCTTAACTAAAAGCACAAGATCATTCAGTAACTTGTAACGAACCAAGACAGAAGAACATGCATTCAGACTAATTCAATTAAGCAGAATATCTCAAGCAGTTTTTTTTCGAAAATTTTTGCTCACCGGAAGCTACTTCCTCTGCTTCGGAGGTAAAGCCTCGCTTCGCCTGGGCCTGAACCGGAGTGACGAGGAGTCTGGTGTGGTTAGTGGAGTAGGTGCGCCGTGCCGTGGAGCCGAAGCGGTTGAGGAAGGAAACTGAAGAGGAGAGTGCCGTTTGGCGAGAGAGAATGGGAAGGAGCGCGCGGGAGAGTAGAGAAGACTGTAGCCAGATCGCACGACCCATGGCCAAGGCGAGAATTTCGGTTGCGGTCTGCTGCCGCTTTTTCTGCGGGTGTGAGGCCAGAAGAAAGAGGAATTTGAACTTAGGGCTTAATGTGTTCGGAGAATTTAATTTTGGCCAGAAGTTCTGTAATTTTAATTTTCGGCCCATGTTTTGAAATTGTTTTTTTCGCGCCGGAAGTTTTGAGATAAGTTTGTTTTTGTCCTTGACTTTTCATTCACTGTAGCAGTGGTTTTATTATCGTGTTCGTTTTGCCACGTTCAACTTTTTTTTTTTTTTAATATAGAAGTTTTATTCTACAATTTTATTTATTTTTTGGTATTGTAATATGGAGATAATTTTTCATGTATATATGGAGACTAATGCCATGTTTGTTTTTGAACAAGAAATTTGAAGAGGAATTAAAAAAAAAAAAGAAGAAGAAATGAAGCTAAATATGGCTTTTTCAATGGATAGATGCCATTGTTAACCCAAAAAAAAAAAAAAGAAAGAAAAAGAAAAAGAGATAAATGTCAATTTAATTTCTCAACTTTAAGCATTTATATTGTTTTCATCTCTTAATTTTTTTATGTATTTTTTTAATCCATCAACTATAAAAATTGTATTTTTTAACCATTTTATCAATTAATTTATTAAGTCTATCCAAATATATACATTTTAATTCTTGAATTTTTAAATTGAGGGACGAAAAATATCCCTATATTATACATTGAGGTACTAAATATGTATATATTTGAATAAATATAACAGATTAACTAATGAAAAGATTTAAAAAATGTATCTTTTATAATTAATGAACCAAAAAAGTATATAAAAAAGTTGAGAAATTAAAATTGATATTTAACCTTTAAAAAACAATAAAAAAAAAGTAACAATGGCTAGCATTGTTGCAATAAAATATATTCATATACTAATTTTTTACTAAATACAAAAAAGTTAACAATTCAACAAAATTTAAATAAAACGTCACGACAAAACATCTTAACTTTATGTACATTATTTTTCTAATCACTTTTCTAATAAAAACTTCTCTAATAAAATTAACCATTTAACCAAAGTGGACCCTTAAATTCTACTTGTAAAAGAAAATTGTAACTTTTGTTAAGTTTGTAAAAATGCTGTTATGTTATAATTAAACACGAGACTGAATTTAAATTAAGTTAGCCTTATGGATTACAAACATATAAAACTATTTTGAAACTTATAGTTGGTATGCTAATCATGTATTAAGATTTAAGAATATTCTCTGTGAGCCAATAAGTTGGTTTCTGGTCTTAATGTAGCTAAAAGGCTTAACAACTTTTGAATGGAAACCTATCATTCCATTTCATCAAAGATTACAGTTAGAGTGTCTAACTAAGAAGTGTCCATGAGTGTTTGCGAAGAGCTCTCATTGTTTGAGTGCTAGCAATTCGAACCCACTTTTTCATCATAAGAATTGGATCTTTTGTCTCGCAGTACCAAAAAGATCAAACCTTCAAATCTTCCACTAGAATCCACTATTGATGACACTTCAGTAAATGAATCTTCATCTACATTGGTGGCTTCCATTGACACTCAGATGGCGGATGCTGTTCCGTCATCAACAAACTTTGTTCTTACCCAAAAAAGGCTTAGTAATTCTCCCACTTTGTCATATTAGGATAAGCTCCTTTTCGACGAGAGTCCAACAATAGTGTCATTTGCTACCACTCCCAATTACATAGATGAAGATCTTGATGTGGATGAGGACCTAGATGATCCTACACCCATTGTCTTGCTTTCCAAGGCCGAAAAGAAGCACATAAGAGAACCTTGGATGAATTCCCTCATCATTAAGGCTTTTCATCCAAAACCCTTGGGATACAATTATATATATCCTCATAATCATGCTTAGTGGAAACAAATTGGTAAATGGGATTTTATTGATCTTGGTTTTGATTTCTTCCTTGTTTGGTTTCATGTGACATAGGACCTTAACAGAGTCATTTTTGATAGGCCGTGGTTTGTTGAACCTTATTATCTCACAATTAGACATTGGGAACCAAACTTTGATACCTTTACTACTCTAAACTCCACCACAATTACTATTGTCTGGGCTCTTCTCCCAAATCTTTCTACTTATCACTATGATCCAGTCACTCTTCAAAAAATTGGTAACAAAGTTGGCACTCTATTATAGGTTGATGCTCGTACAGCTGACCATATGCGCAGCCAATAGGCACGTATTTGTATGCAAATTGATTTGTCACAACCAATTGTTAAATCAATTGGAATTGGTAGAAAATGACATAAAGTTATTTATGAGGGTATCAATGCTTTATGCTTCAAGTGTGGAAGAATTGGCCATCGTAACACTCAGTGTCCTAAAATCTCTACTAATGATTCTCCTAGCATTAATGCCACACCAAATTCTCAATTGAATAACACAAAACCCATAACTACAAAACCCCCAAATACACAGGCAAGTATCTCAATTAATTTTGGAGAATTTGACTTCACCAACCCAGATGGATATGAAATAGAAACAAATGGAGGATTTTGGACCTTGGCTTCTAACAGAGCATCACAAACCCAGGAGAAGAACCACTATTCCAGCACCTTCATTAGAAAAAACACCTTTGGAAACAAGCCAAACACATCACGTGAAGTCGGAGGTCCGACCCAAAAACTTGGTCTAAACCTGCATCAGGCTCTCAATGTAGTCATTCAAAGCAATTCAACGATAATAAAGTCAATGCATTTAATGTGGAGCAAGACCCTAATCAATTTAGGCTAACATTTTCTATTGCTAGACCCAGTCAAAGTATGGGCAATAATGGGCAAAAAGCCATGAATCTTCAATGGGTTAACAAAAAACTGTCACAAGACCAAGATCCAAACAAAGAGCAAGGCCTATTAGAGCCCAAGGAGAAACAACTAGCTCCCAAACTAGAACCCACCTTGGCCCAATCCCCAACATTAGTCAAGTCCACTCCTTCGAGAAATCCCATGTGATTCATCTCTTTCTTTCTCTCCAAAAAATTCCATAGTGAAAAGGTTTGCACCACCCCCTTAACTCCCCCATCTCAATCTACCCTTTTTACTCCACCTAACCTTTCCCAAATCCAACATAGACCCTCACAATTTTCTCTCCCTACACCTAAACCTTCAAATTTACCTAGTAAGAGGGCACCACCAAATTTGCCTAAGTTATGCACTAGAACAAATGTTGGACGAAGTCTCATCACGGGATGAGAATTGGACAATACCACAAATAATAACGGCTTGGAGGGCTCCGATAATAACTTACAAGTAAGTGGATGTCCAAAACTTACTACATCTCATCCCACCTCACATGGTTTCTCTGAATCCTCTGGAGCTTTGGTAAACAGTGGATTTTGCATCTTCTAGAGGCAGACGCAACACCGAAGAGGAACCAAACCTTATAATCCCTCAAATAGTGACCAGTTTGACTTACCTGCCTCACTTGATGGCCATCACTTTCGGAGGCAAATGGAGCGAGTTCATTTGGTGACCAAAATTCTGCCCTCATTATTCACGAAAATGGAGATGGACTTTGAAACACTTTTACTCCCCTTTCATTTTCCTTTAGCGAGATTCTTATTCAGGGTTTAGATCTCTTTATGGCCAATACTAGATCTAATGCTAGCCTAGATACTATTGGGTCTATCCAACCCTTGTGAGTGGAATATGAAGATCATTTCATGGAATTGCCACGGAACGACCAAACTTAATTTTCACTGAAGTGTTATGGATCTAAAACATACTCATAATCCTTCTATGATGTTGATTTTGGAAATGAAGCTGGCTGGTGATGATGCTTGTGATTTAGCTACTTTTCTCGACTTCCCCAAAACCTTTGTTGTTAATTTCAAGGGTTTAGCTGGGGGCTTATGGCTTTTATGGAACAACATACTCTTTCAGTGGACATTGTTTCTCATAGTTGCCAAGCCATTCACACAGTTATTAAGGTATGTAGTAATCCTCTTTTTCCTTTTGATTAGTTCTTTTCAAGTATTTATGGCTGACCTCAGTTAGATATTAGATCCCTTTTATAATGAGAGCTCTCTTCGATTGCTATGAACTTATTTATGCCTTGGATGCTTATTGGGGATTTTAAAAGATTTTTAAGATAGTAGTAATTCTCAACCGTAGCTTTGCCAATAAATATGAGATCATCAGCAAAGAAAATATGGGATAAGAGAGGACCTCTTCTGCCTACCTTACTTTCCTTTTAAAGATTGCATTCCATATCAACTGAGATTTTAAGAGAAAGAATTCCATGCAGATGATGAGGAGACAAGATGAAAGGGGATCCCCTTAGTGGATCCCTCTGGAAGGAAGAAAACTCTCTGTCTTATCAATATTAACAAGGATTGAGATAGACAAGAAGCTAACTATAGACATGATCAAATCAATAATTTTCATAGGGAACTGAAAGAAACTAAGGGCTTCCTTGATAAAGCTCCATTCTAATATATCATAGGCCTTCTGAAGATCCAGTTTACAAATCATATCCCATGACTTACAAGGTTTCTTTGCAAAAGAATAGACAAGCTCTTGGAGGATGATAACATTATCCATTCCCTGTCTACCAAAGATAAAGTTAGATTGGCAAGGGGACATAAGTTTATCCATCCACAGTTTGAGTCTATTGACAAGAATTTTAGAGACAATCTTGTAGGATGTGTTGCAAAGGCCAATAGGTTTGAATTGTTGAATAATTTCTGGAGACTTGACTTTAGGAATGAGTGCCAAGAGACACTCATTCCATTTGTTAAGGCTTACTCCAGTGCAAAAAATATCCTTAACATCTCGACAAACTTTATCCTTAACCGATGGCCAGTAGCCTTGATAAAAGAAAGGGTGAGTACCATCAAGACTAGGAGCTTTAAAAGGTTTCATAGATTTCACCACCTTAAGAATTTCAATTTCAATAGGAATTTCACCAATAGAGTCCAAGTTCATAGAGTCATCCAAATCAAGGTAGATATGGAGAAAGGAATCAGTAAAAGAATGCTGAAGAGAGGTGGAAAAAAGATTTTGGAAAAGGTAACAGCAATGGACGCAATAGAAGGTCCATTAGAAACCCAAGCACGTATTAACACGAGTTACCCTAAATTAACACGAGTCCTTAAACTAAAAACAGTGCATATTAACCTTCAAACCCCTCGAAAGATGCAAATTTGTCCCATTTGTTATTTTCGTTCGCTTGGTCCCACTTTTTCACATCAATGCTAATATGGATCAAAGGACCCATTGAGCGGTAAAAATCCTACCAAAATGGCCCACATGGCCTTCTTGGGTCACATGAACTATTCTGTCTAGATTTTCGCAACAAGAGTCTTTTGATCCACATGAGCATCCATGTGTAGAAGTGAAACTAAACAAAGGAAAAGAACAGACAATGTGAGGTCACATGCATTAAATTGTAAATGATGAGGGCTTATTTGCATCTTTGAAGGGGTTTGATGACTAATTTGCATCATTCAAGAGATTTGAAGGCTTATTTGCACTGCTTTTAGTGTAAGAACTCAAGTGTTAATTTGAGATAAGTCTAGAGGCCTAAGAGGACGCTTTGCTTAAAACAAGCAGTTTTTTAAAGTCATAGTCCAATCCTAACATTTCTAGAATCGGGCCTTGTGGCCCAATGGTTCGACCCCAAACCTTAAGTGCTTCGGTGAGGTGGTCGAAGTTTTGAACTTCACCACCGTCGTAAACTCTACCAAAAAGCGGACTGATGGCCGCGCGTCTCATTTGAGGGGATGGAATGTTCACCCCGTCTGAAGACCAATTGCTAACAATTAACTCACTAACTTCCTAACCATTATCCTTGTCAAAAAAAAAAAAAAAAATCCTAACATTTCTAAAGGAAGGTGCAGTTGACTTATGACAAATTTTGTGATTTTTGTTAATTTCTATAAGCTGCAAGGCATTTTATGCCTTTTTTTACTAATAGGTTTATATGTATTATTTATTTTGATTTAAGCTTGACTTGTGTCAATGTAAGACGTTAACCTACAAGATAACAAATCTTGTAGATGCATACTGCTCTTGCTGAATACTAATATTTATTTTAGTTCAAAAAATAGATTTAACATGTTCACATGCCGTCATCTCTACATAAAATCTCCAACAGTCCAGGAGAAATAATCATAACCTCACAAAAATAAATTATGTGAATACACATATAAATTATACTTACAGGGTTGCCAATAGCAGACACCTCGTCACCACGTTGCAATTTGGAAGAGTCACCATGACTTAAGGGCCTTGGATTTTTTTAGGTACAAGCAAAACAGCAATATCCTTGTCCTCGTCAAATCCAACAAACACAGCTTTACATGTAGAATTGTCATCAAAAGTGACCCTGGATTAACACCAAAATTTCACTAGCAAGCCAATATATACCAAAGCCCTAATACTAGTTACAATGGGAAGAGACTCATTTCAGTGTCTCTTTATGCCATATCATGACAGTTTATGTTATTTATTTTGCCCAACAACAAAGACTCTATGACTCTCATCTAATGCATAGAACGAAAAAGGCTTCTCAAAAGTTACACCAACCAAAAAAAGTATCAATCTTACTTATCTAAAACTATAATATTAAAAAGGAAGAAGAAGAAGAAGAAGCTAACAGGGTATCTTGAAAACAAGAGCCCCCATGATAGTGAAGAGTCTCAATTTTTGAGTCTCTCTTCCAAAAGAGACTCAAAGAGAGACCACCATTACCGGTGGCCTAATAACACTATTTCTCCCAATTCTGGCCTTCTACAACATTCATACCATGTTTCCTCCCAACATAGCTCCACCAAAACTTCACAATGGCTAATTCAAATAATATTGATAAAATTATAGGAGAATAACTGCTCTAATATCAGAAAACGTACTTATGATCAGAAGCACCATCAATCACATGGTAATTGGTGACAATGTGACCCAAATCGTCCCACACAAAACCTGATCCTGAGCCTCTGTAAGAATGTTGCATATCATGTAGAAAAGGATCAGAATTCAGAAATACAAAAACAACAGCGTCTTGGCTACCATTAGCTCCATGCACAACAGAGATGCATATCTTACTTGGAATTGGAGATGCAAACGACAGAGGAAGCATTCTCTTCAAGAGTGCGAACCTTAAGGGGTTCATCGGACTGCTTACCCATCAAAGTCTGGCAACCCTTCACCACCAAAGACTGCACCCTGTCCCGCAACTCGCACGGCTTCCACTCAAAATTACGACACTCATACAAACCAAACAAATAGCACCGTGTCAACAAATCCATAATGTTCTGCAAAAAGCATTCAAATTTGAACTGGCCCAAGAACTGTGTCTTAGTCTCCAATGCTTTGTCAGAATTCACCTCGGTGCGGATCAAGTACCAAACCAGGTGCTGCATCAAAGACTTAAACACAAGCAGCAAATTGGAAATCAAGAACTGCTTCGTATAGTACTGATGGCCTTCGTGATCCTCCAGATTTATTCAGTCCAAGAAAGAAAAAATAGTTAACCCTCAAAAGACTTGGAAATTTTACTGTTTAATTCCTTCACAAACTCTGACATGCATTTTTGGTGGTGCTGGCAAATGTGGGCATCCTGAGAGACGCATACCATGCAATAACACACCTCGAATAGAAAAGGCCTAAAAAACCCAGATAACTCTGAAATTACCAATTTTAAGGAATCTTGAAACTTTGATAACACTGTATTCTTTATTTTGCTCTGGTAGCAATCCCCCAGTTCAGAACATTTGTGATTTAACAAATTAGTCACTGCATCATTATCTAAAAAATAAAAAATAAAATCAGTCACTGCATCGCTATATAGAAGTTTTCGTTTTTGTAATATAGAAGCTTCATACCACACAATTTTATTTATTTTTTGGTCTTGTATTGTGGAGATAATTTTTCTCGTATATATGGAGATTAATGCTATGCTAGTTTTTGAACAAGAAATTTGAAGAGGAATAAAAAGAAAAAAGCCTTTTTCAATAGATGGACATCACTTTTTAAAAAATCAATTAATCAAGTAAATGATCTCATAACCCCGTAAAAAAGGTTTACATTAATTAATTGAAAACATAATTCATGTTATATTTGATTATTTTTTCTCTTGCTTTTAATCCAACAAAAAATTTGTTCATTCTTTTTTTTTTTATTATTATTTGAGAGAGTTATATAGGGATGGCAACGGGTCCCCACGGGGACGGGGACCCCCTCCCCATCCCCATCCCCATTAATGGCGGGTATGGGGATCCCCATGGGGAATTTTGACGGAGGGTCAAAAATTGCTTTCATCCCCATCCCACGAGGAATAATAAGTCCCCACGGGTATTCGGAGTTCCCGCCAAATAAAACTATCATCTATTTCACTACTTGTTAATCAAAATTCCAAAAGAAAATAGCAATTTTACAAAATCCTAGATAGCAAACAAAGATAATCAAGATCACTCTTTTAAAACAAGATAAACAAGTAGTAAATATGCACAATAACACAGCTAATATATACATTTTATTGTCAAGCAAGTCCAGCAGGTAAGCTAACAACAAGTTCATATTTCATAAAGAAAAAATGCATAAACTGCCATATAAATCCAGCAAATCTAACAAAAGGTTTATAAATAATAAAAGCATAAATTACAACTGTCATATATGTCTAAATTCAGTAAAGTTGATAGAAAAAAAAAAAGCATAAGCTACTGCCAACATGTCCAGCAATAAGTTCATTAAGAAAAAGCACATAAAAGAGTTTAGAAAGTGGTAGATGCGTACATATCCATCCAATCCAGCAAAGCAAACTCTACAGCAGCAACTTAAGCTAAGCTTGACCAATAATTTCAAGTTGAGGAAATAACTTCCTGAAATAAAAACAAATACCTCAAATTAACAAAATTTTAGAAAAATTTCTTTATATAATAATTTATATAAAAAAATATTATTGTTTAAAATTTACCTCAGACTCATCATCCTCATTATCATTCTCCTCCAACTCCTCAAATAGATTGAAGAAATTCCCATTATTGTCAGAACCTGAATTTCAAACATAAATTCAAAAATAAAAACTCCCCCTATAATGGTTCCATGCTTCAGTGGGTCGGTGAGAGGTTGAGAGCTGAAGGGAAGCGATCCATGGAGATAAGGGCAGAGTTTGAGCAAGAGTGTGGCAGAGGACTAGAGGAGAGGAGACTCAGAGACTGACTGGAGAGGAGAGACCGTCGCCAACCAAGAGAAGAATGAGGAATCCCAATTCCCAAATTCGCAATTTGCAATTGCAAGAAGTGGCAAGCGCAAAAGGGAAACTGAGTGAAATGTTCTCCTGCTAGGGTTATATGTAAATTGGGCCTGGTAAATCGGGATTGGACAATTAGGTGCTGGATTATTAGATTCACAAAAAAAATTGGGTTAGGCTAAGAATTGGGTTTAAAAAAATTGAAAAAAGAATGGGTTGTGAAATTTAAGTTATGTTGGTATTGGGTTAGTTAATTAAATTGGATAAATAAAAATTAATTACTAATATATGTCCAAAAAATATATATATAAATAAATTTATATTTTTTTATTTTATATGAATCTCCATTGTTCCCTATAGGGTGGAGAAAATTCCCGTGAAATTTCACTGGTAAAAAATTACCTCCATCCCCGCCATACGGATAGGAATATTTTGAGAATCTCCATCCCCGTGGCGGGTATTTTCGCGAAGCTCCGTGGATCACGGAAAAAATTGCCATCTTTAGAGTTATATAGAATTAGAGATTCTTTAACTTTATTAATCTCTATTTGCCCAAATATTTATATGGAATTAGAATATTTAACTTAAATATCTAACTTTATTTTGTTCCTTGATTGGTACGGTACAACCGTACAAGTGCCTATTCCTAACTTTGATTTATGAAATTTCATCCTTCCATAAAATTAATTGAGATTTTGAAAAATCCTTTGGATTTTCTCAAAAAAATACTCTAAAAAATCCCACGTAAATAAGGTTATCGAAATAGATTTATTAATCCCCACAATGACTTAGAGCATGTTTGGGTTAATTCGTAAGAGTTTTTATTTTTTTTATTATTTATAAATAATAAATTTAAATTTTTATTGAAA